ATACACCGATGAGAACATCATAGGCAGTTCCACAGCATGTTTAAACTTTCCTGCTAGTTAGAAACCCCAAAATGCAACTGACGTTTTTTTGTTACATTGCAGATAGGAGCAATAAAATGTTGTGCCGCTAAAATTTACGGCATTTAACTGGAATATCGGGTCTGAAGTTTACAGACAATGTGCTTAAGACTTCACTTCACGTTCACACAATATTATCAGTTGCAATTAGAAGTTGCACTTCATAGTTTGAATTACCAATGGGAATAATAGCTCGATCAATCTTTGCTTGTTTCCTCTGGATTACAGACAGCTACGAGGTGACATAATAAGACATTTCGCATGCTGCGGGGTCAGGATTGTTGCCTCGAATCTAATTCTTTCTCTGAGCTGGCCACTACCACTAGCCTGCGAGGACACCCTCTCAAATTACTTGTGACTGGGGCAAGACTTGACCCAAGAAAATTCTTTTTTCTGAGAGAGTAATTCAGGCATAGAATGCTCTTCCTGCGGACACTGTCACGTTCCCATTCGTGGACATCTTTAAGACGAAGCTTGACCAGCACGGCCTTACTGCCTCCAATTCAGCTGAAACAACCACGAGCTTCTTTGAAACTAAACTTTTAAATGCTATAAATATGCTACTAGCTATTTACTTGAAGTATTTTCACAATGCATCGCCCAACAACTTCGCGCTGCCTCCTCACTACGCATCGGCAATCGCCTTTACCTCAAATATGGCCCCAGGCTACGCCGCATTGTTATCGACCTAAAAACGGGCTGCTGACTACCTTGGCGGGTTCCTCTGTTTTTGTTACCTTATCGGCAGACGCGGCAAACAATAAGGGTGTATCATGGTCGCATCTCCGGTTCTTCCGGATGTCCTCGTGACTCTGCGGTCTCCCCCGTGTGTGGCCCTTCGGATAAAGATATTAATGGCATTGGGCTCCCCTGGCTTGCCACCAACATTCACAGCAGCATGCCGGTCCTATCACTCACATACTTTTCTCCCACGAGCGACAGTTTTTCGCTTAAAAAATCCA